TTAAACAAAACATGTTATTTTTCTACACCTATCTATTTATGCAGGTAAGATACACAAAGATCATATAAGTTTTATTATTAGCTAAAAGGAATCAGGTGATTATAAAACTATTTAGATAAGGTTAGATTATACATTAAAAACAGTAGAAGGGGTGTTTGCTTTGGAACTAGTACTACTATACCAAAAGAAAACTCACTACCATTGAGTCAATGCTGACTCATAGCAATGCTACAGGACAGGATAGAATTGCCCCTGTGGGTTTCTGAGATTGTAACTCTTTAAGGGAGTAGAAAGCCCATCTTTCTCCCATGGATTGTCTGATGGTTTCCAACGCTGACCTTGCAGTTAGGTGCCCATGCATAACCAGGCCACTTTAAATGTGGAAAATAGAAGTAAATCTTATGTCTTACAAAACCCTAAATATGAAAAAATATAAAAATTACATATAGAAGACATTGAAATATTCTTAATTCAGTAAAATATACAGTACTGTCATGTAAGAATACAGTAAGATATTTGACATTTAGAATTACATAGATTATTTCTGTAGGAGAAAAATAAGATGACCCATATTAGCATTATAATTTTAAATAAAAATTAAAAATCATTGTTATTAAGGAGACCTTAATTTATAGAAACCCTCTATGAGAGCCATAGTGACCCTATAGAACAGAATTGTTGCATTAAAGTGCTAAAATAAAAATAAAGAAAACTTGGAGAAGAACATCAGATTTCCTGATTTCCCATTTGATATCCTAAACAAAATTTCCATTTTATTTTCTTAATAGTAACTATGAAAAAGGAAAATAAAAGTATAATGTAATGTGCTATGTAATTGCCCCACTTAAACTATAGGCCAGTATGTTGATTATAGAATCATTTTCCCTATTTTCTACATTTCTGGAGCTGGAACAATAGAGTTTAATTTAAAAGGTAAAACCCCAAAACTCTAGAAAAAATAAGTAGAAAATTTTATCTGCAAAATTACTTCAGTCAAAACACAAAAAACATTCATGATGTAAAGTTAATAAGTTCCATTTTTGTTTTGTTTTTTTCAAAAGTAGAACACTGTCCTTTAGAAGGCAAAGTTAAGAAAATTAAAAATAGCAAATCACAGTTCTGTAGGCAAAGAGGGGGGCTTCAAAAAGTTCATGAAAAATTAATTATCTTTTAATTCCATTTTCCTTGAACCTTTTGAAGCCCCCTCATACGCCCAAGGCATTTATTAAACAAAGGTCTTTTATCTAAGATACATAAATAACCCTTCAAATACAATAATAAGAGGCATGCAACCCAATTAAAATTGGCAAAAGATATGAACAGAGATTTCACAGAAGAAGATATATAAAAAGCCTAAGACCACATGCAAAGATGCTTAACATCCTTATTCACCAGAAAAATGCAAATTGAAACCACAATGAGATACCATTGTACACCCACGAGAACGATTAAAATAAAAAAGTCTAACAATGCTGAAAGGAGAGATTTTTTCATTTGATTTTTTATTCTAGCATCTCTATCTGGATCATTTACTGCTGCCTGAACTTGGATATTTGGATTTATATTAAAGGCACATTGTGTGAGTAAA